GAACAGAGCAGAACCACTCCATAGGGCTTCCAAGGCTATAAATCTTTACAGAAGCAGACTGCCTCATCTTTCTCCCATGAAGCAGCTGGTGTGTTTGAACCACTGACTTTTTGATTAAAAGCCAAATGCTTTAACAACTACACCACCAGAGCTCCTGAAAGGCAGGGTAGACTAATATTAATAAACAACAACAATAAAACAAGCAGCCGTATGAAGGGCAAATTTAAATTTAGGTTTTATAGTAATCTCACAAAGTAGGAAGATGGCAGGTATAATTATTCACATATATATACATTTTGGAGCTCTGGTGGCATCATGCCAAAGGCATCTGACTGCTAACCAGAAGGTTGGTTGTTCAAACCCCTATCCCCTCTGTGGAAGAAAGGTGCAGTGATCTACTTCCATAAAGATAAACCCACTTGGAAATCCAATGGAGGTCGCTATGAGTCAAAATTGACTTGATGGCAGTGAGTTTAGTTTTATTTTTTAAAAAATATATATTTTAAGGTACAGAAATTTACTCCTAGTGAAAATGGACTTCTCAAATGAGTTGGCTAATACTCCCAGTTCTCCTTTCTTCTTATCAATTTGTTTTCTAATTTTTTGTTAAATATTGACTGTTTTCCCTACAGATCCATGTTCCTACATCTCCACTCTGTCTCTGTCCACCACATCTACAACTCTCTTGCTGTTCAACCTTTTGTTGGATTTGGTCAATAAGAGGCACTGGTAGGAGGTTGGTGGGCAGTAGGAGAATGAGGAGTTGGCTACAATTCATAGCAACCCCAGGTACAACAGAATGAAACAATGCACTGTCCTGTGTCATCCTCACAATCTTTGCTATGCTTGAGGCAACTGTTGCAGTCATTGTGTCAATCCATCTTGTTGAGGATCTTCCCATTTTTCACTGACCCTCTACTTTATCAACCATGATATCCTTCTTCAGGAACTAGTTCCTTTTGATGACATGACCAAAGCAGATGAGACAAAGTCCTGTCATTCTCGTTTCTAAGGACCAATCCACTGGTACTTCTTCCAGGACAGATATGTTTGTTCTTCTGGCAGTCCACAGTATTTTCAGTATTCTTCACCAATACCACAATTCAAATGAATTAATTGTTTGGTCGTCCTTATTCATTGTTCAGCTTTCACACGCATATGAGGCTACTGAAAATGCAATGGCTTGGGTCAAGCACACTCTAATTTTCAAAGTGACATCACTGGTCTTTAACACTTTAAAGAGGTCTTCTGCAGCTGACCTGCCCAGTTCAATCCAACTTCTGATTTCTTGACTGCTGCTTCCATGGACACGGACTGTAGATCCAAGTAAAATGAAATCCCTGAAATCTTCAACCTTTTCTCCATTGATTGTGATGTTGCTTACTGGTCCAGTTGTGAGGATTTCTGTTTTATTTATGTTGAGGTGTAATCCATATTGAAGGCTGTAGTCTTTGATCTTCATCAGTAAGTGCTTCAAAAGTCTTCACTTGCAGCAAGCACGGTTGTGTCATCTGCATATCGCAGGCTGTTAACAACATATTAGCCAATAGTAATTAGATTTCTCTCCAAATTCTTGACACTTTGATTTAATAACCCTAGAAACGGACTCACTAAGAATAGGTGATGTCAGTACACAGTAGAAGTAGTGTGAGAAGCCTGAATCCTAATTAAGGGATGAGACGGATTTTTCAGAAGATGCTTTTAAAATCAAAAGGCAACAATGAGTTGTCAAAAAAAATATCAAAACCATGAGTCCTCCTGAAAGAAAATACAGGGAAAACAAATATCGGGGCCCAACAGCAGCTATATCAAATTTTAGAGGGAATTTTTAATAACATATTAATCACTGAATACACTCAGAGGGATATCCTTCTGCCGTGGAACTAGCGATGAGTGAATGGGAGGACAAGCAATTGGCATCTATTGATTCATAACCATGATTAATACGATTCTTTCTTTCCCCTTTTAAAGGGCCTAATAGCAGGAGCTCACAATTTACTTGAATAACAGTGAAGGGACCAGGAAGGATATGCTAATCTAGAAGTCATTTTACATAGTTGGCAGTGTGGTTAAAATTATACAATGCCCCACTGACAAACTGAGACGTATTGAAGAGAAAGTACTGCACACATGAAAGGCAGAAAGATGTAAACCTACACTAATGCTGACTGTTGGTGTTGTTATGTGCTGTCAACTCAGAACCGACTCACAGTGACTCCTCCTTGGGTTTCTGAGGTGGCATCATTACGGAAGTAGATTGCCCAACCTTCCTTCCGAGGAGTGGCTGGTGGGTTTGAACCACCAGCCTTCTGGTTAGCAGTCAAGTGCCTTAGGCACTAAGCTACCAGAGCTCCCATTAATGCTGACTAGGATAGACTATATATGTTTTTTTTTTCCCACTGAATCTTTATGAAATAAAATGACTTCAGGGAGACAACAAATAAATATTATTTTTTCAAAATGGAAGGCATTGTTTATAGTTTTTCAAGGAAATTATAAATGCCATAATTTAAAAAAAAAAAAAAAAACCCAGATCAGTTATGAACATATAATGCTCTTAAGTGTAGCCTAAAGCCCATTTACATTAGTACATACAGCTTGACAACAGAAGATATAATTTATATAAAAATACAGTTTTACCTACAAAATCTGTTATAAAATAGCTAATAAACCTGTTGAGCTATGGTCCCTTTTATTCCATCCCATCCTGATTTTTAGTTAAAATCATCAGTTGTTCTTTTAAAATGATACCTAAATTTTTGGATCATGCATCCTATTCTTAAAAGAAATGTTTTGAGAACTCTCTCAGGATATGTCTATGTATTTATTTATAAATCATAAGCAGTGCTATACTAGTATTATTAGTAATATGTATAAAACTTATGTAAAGACAAATTATAAGGGATGAAATAGAGATGAAATAAAATATTAGTTTCATTACTTAAAAAAAAAGTAATAAAAGTTTTACAAAAATATAATACAACACTCCCCAATAAGTTTGTAAGAATATCAAAATTTTAAGAAAAACAATCTAAAAAAAATAGAACAAATTAATAACTAGAATACAGAAAAGAAATATCAGAGCTCATTCATACAATTAAAAACTATTCATGGAAAATAATAAAAAATTAAACAGTAACAAATTTAAAATATTTAAATTACTAATGACAAAAAGAGGGAGCTCTGGTAGCATAGTGGCTAAGGCACTTGACTGCTAACCAGAAGGCTGGCGGTTCAAACCCACCAGTCACTCCTCGGAAGGAAGGTTGGGCAATCCTACTTCCGTAGTGATACTGCCTCGGAAACCCAAGGAGGGGTCGCTATGAGTCAGGGCTGACTCGATGGCACGTAACAACAACAACAACAATGACAAAAAATATCTTTTTTAAAAAAATTGTTATTTGGGTGAAAGTTTACAGAGCAAATTTACTTTCCATACAGCAGTTCACATCCACTTTGTCTCGTGACACTGATGACATTTACCACAATGCAACAGCTCCCCTCCCACCTCCTCCCGATAGTTACCTCTTCCCTGTGTTCATCCCTCCATGTACTCTGGCCTCCTGAGCTGTCTCCCTCTGCATAAACAGCTCTTCTTTCTCCCATGACTGTTCTCTCCAAGGAGTGTATCTACCTCAGGTAAATGTTCAACTCATATGCCTGTGGCTTCCAGCCAAACAAGACAGACCTGAAGGGCAGCTAGGGGCCATAGTCTCAGTGGTTCCACCAGGCTCTATCAGACCAGCAAACTTGGTCACCACTTTTATTTATTTATTTATTTATAATTTCCAAGTGATTTTGAGTTTTGTTCCACATTGTTCTCTCTCTCTATCCAGGATCTCCTACATAGATCCCCCTCTGAGTGGTTGACAGTGGGAGTCGGACACCATTTAGTTCTTCTGGTCTCACAGTCATACAGGCTGCAGATCACATGGTGTACCAGTTGCTAGGACTAATTGTTTCCATGAATCTTTGGTTTTCTTCATTCTTCTTTGCTCTGGATGAGGAGAGACCCATTATTGCATCTAGATGGCTGCTTGCAAGATTTTAAGATCCCAGTCACTACGCACCAAAGTAGGAGGTGAAACAATGTTTTATGTAGTATGTTATGCCAAATGAGCTTGATGTCCCCTGTGACTATGGTCCTGAGCCCACAGGTTCAACTACTCACGCCCTCTGGGTAGCTGGCTGTGACCAAGAAGTGACTACAACCTTGTCCTTTGTCAGCTCTACCATACACCTGTAAATTGTTACAGAACATACAAATACACTTGTAGAACCATCGTCTTCCAACCCTATATATGGTCTTGGGTACACTCTCCACTGCACAGACATACCTAATAGTTTAGCCTGTCCACTCAACGACACAAAATATCTTTTGGGTCTATTTTTAGAAAGTTGTTTTTTTTTCTTTTTAATTTTATTAAAAAAATTGTGATGTAAGGATTTGAAGGTCTGATTCTAAGGTCAGTTTATTTTGGTAGTTGGTTCCAGTTCTAGATTAGCTAAAATGATTTCACAGAGGTATGCACAGCCAATGGAAGAAGTACTGTTAGCTATGATTCCAAAACCAAACTCACTGCCATCGAATCAATTCTGACTCACAGTGATCTCCACTGAGTTTCCAAGGCAGTAAATCTTTACAGTAGATTGCCCCCCAACTTCCTTCCATGGACCAGTTGGTGGTTTGAACTACTAACCTTCTGGTTAGCAGTCAAATGACTTAGGCACTGTACCACCAGAACTCCTTATAATGGTAAGATTATGGTAGCTACATTTTACTTGCTACGTTTTACATTACACAAAGAAACTCAGGTAATTATTTTTACTACTAACAAGATTTACATCAGCTTAAAGTAGAATCTCTGAATTCAAGTATAAGCTAGCAGTCCTTTATAAAATTAACTCATTAAGAAAAAATAGTGAGAGAAGCAGCAATCATAAGAGTAGCCAGTTCCTTAAAGCTGAGTTTGGCAGCTTCTTTCAGATTTGTGTCATACCTTTGCTCCATGCTTATGCAGAACTTCCATAACATCATTGTGAGCTCTTTCAGCAGCAACATGCAGGGGAGTCATAAAACTAAAGAGAGTAGAAAAGGAAAAGGTAATTTCCTCTTTAATTTTATTGTATTTCCTCTTTAAGAAGTGAGCAATTCCTTCAGTGATTCTACTTACTCTTTATTTTTTTCATTAACATTTGCTCCTTTTCTAAGTAATAATTCTGTCACTTGTTTTCGCTTCGGATGTAGGGAAGCAACAGCACAGTGCTATAAAATAAAAGGAAGTTAATAAATTTCTCTTTAAAAGTAGATGTCTGATTTAAATAGCACTTGCAGACTATTTAGAACCCTCATCTCAAAACATCAGAAAATACTTATAGTTTAAATTATGGAGAAAATCAAAATTCCTTCTGAATAAACTGCAAGTATAAAATGCAGCCAACATGAATTAAACCAAGGTGAAATGATGCTGTTAATTAGACATTTAGAAAGACTTTGTTTCGTTTCCTTTAGCCATTAAATGATTATACCAGTATATATATATTTTATTGGATACATGAGTATACCGCCTCTACACAGCTACAGCAATCTACAACTAAATTACTCAATTCTTCTTTAGACTGTCAGTGACTTAAGTCAACATTTCTCAAACTTTTCCACAGAGGTACCCCCAGCACTATAGGAGAATAAGCCTGTATGGATAGGGATAGGCACAAGGGTGATAGACTTGAAGCAGCTTTGAGGCGGACATATTTTCAGAAATTTTATTCATCCTAATATTCATACGATTTCATTTTACTTGGATCCACAATCAATGCCCATGGAAGCAACAATCAAGAAATCATACAATACAATGCACTACACAAATCTGTTGTAAAAGATATTTTCAAAGTGCAAAAGAGCAAAGAAGTCACTCTGAAGAGTAAGGTGTGCCCAACTCAGGCCATGGTATTTTCAGTAGCCTCATATTCATGTGAGAGCTGGACAATGAATAAGGAAGACCACAGAAAAACTGATACATTTAAACTGTGGTGTTGGCAGAGAATACTGAATATATCATGAACAGCCAGAAGAATGAAAAAATCTGTCTTGGAAGAAGTAAAATCAAAATGCTTCTTAGAAGCAAGAACGGCCAGACTTTGTCACTCATACTTTGGTCATGGTATCAGGAGGGACCAGCCCCTGAAGAAGCAAAGCAGAGGGTCAGCAAAAAAGGGGAAGACCCTTAGTGAGATGGACTAACAAACTGGCTACAACGATGGGCTCAAGCATAGCAAAGAATGCAAGGATGGAGCAGGACCAGGCAGTGTTTCACTCTGTTGTACATAGGGTTGCTGAGTTGAAACTGACTAGCTAGCACCTAACAAAAATAACAATATTTATACAGCTCTTGTATTGAACTTCATTTTACATTAATGTTTATATTGAAATTTTAAAATGACTTACTACTGAAAGAAGCAAACACTCCAAAAAAGCAGTCAGGTTTACTCTGTGGCTAAGTACACTTCACGGAATAAGGCTGTGTCACTTGAGTGCATGTGAACCTCAGTTTGAGAGTCATATATTTAAATACATATATAGTTGGCCTGGGAGCTCTAGTAGTGTAGTGCCTAAGGCATTTGACTACTAACCAGAAGGCTGGTGGTTCAAACTCATCAGCCACTCCTCAGAAGGAAAGTTGGGCAATCTACTTCCATAGTGATACCGCCCCAGAAACCCAAGGAGGGTTCGCTATCAGCTGGATTTGACTTGATAGCAGTGAGTTTGTTTTTTTTTTTTACAGTTGGCTTATTTCAGTATGGTGACTCTTTTAATGTTTTCAGCAGATGTTGACTGAAGTGTGACTGCTTTTTTTTGTGTCAGTTACGTGATAGAATATTAACTAAAGCCTATTTAGAGGTCTGTGATACAGGCACCACAAAACCCAAACCAAACTCACTACCATCGAGTAGATTCCAACTTTGGGTTTCCAAGGTGGTAAATCTTTATGGAAGCAGATTTCTCTGTCTTCCTTTGTGGAGTGGCTGGTGGGTTTGAACCACCAACCTTCTGGTTAGCAGTTAAATGCAGGAGGCATTAGGCCACCAGAGCTCCTTACAGGCATCACATATGCTTAAATTCTGAATTCAAGAGTGAAAATCAATAACCCACCTCCTATTTGAGCTTTAATGTGGTCAGTGACAAGGAAAATGAACTAATCTTTCCAAAAATGCATTAGATGAAAAAACAGTACTCATAAAAATAATTTGTAATTTGGAACAAGAAATTCACAATCCCATCATTTTTCTAGAAGGAATAATATCAATTCTTTGAATACAATTGTTCAAAAGGATGATGCAAGTATCTCTGAAAAACAATTTACTCTTCTACAGAAAAGAAATTCAGCAATTATCTAGCAACTACAAGAAAAAGAAGACTCTGTACGGAAAATCATATCTTGTAATTTATAAAAGCACTGACCACAAAACAGATTTGTTCTAATAGGTTATAAACACAAACGTGAAAATAATAATTCCCAAATCAAGGTTGGGCAAGTATCTATTCCGTCACCCCTAAATAGAATCATCACCCAATCCAAATTTAAGAATCAGAGCAACCAACATTAAAATGCAAATTTTTGGTATTTCAGGTACTAAAATTAAGGTTTCTGAAATAAAAAGCATATTGTGTGTTTGCATTACTGTTATGCACACAAGGAATGAATTAACAATAATATCTTACCAGTGCTGTTTCATGAGACTGAGGTTGCTTGAAATTAATGATTTCCAAAGCAAGTGTTTTTTTAACTTTGGCTAGGTCTGCTTCTCTGGCTGCTTGTAGTAAAGAATGACCTTTAAATTCATCTGTTAGTGAAATAATGATTGACATAATGAAGATTTAATATTTATAAAAATCTTTAGCATGATTATAAATAGGCAGGGAAACTATTAATTTTATATATTCCTCTCTTTTAGCAAAAGCGGTAATACAATAATATGATGAAAAACTGTAGAGGATGAAGGTACAGACTAATAAAAAAATTTTGAAATATGTATGCTCTGAGAGAAGTTTAAAACTGAGGCAAGCTAAATATCCACCAAAAGGGCACTAATTAAATAATTTATGGCATACTCACATACCAGCGATCTTTAAAGTTCTTACACAAAAGTAACAGATTTATATGTACTGGGATGAAAGTATACAGTACCGTTAAATGAAAAATTCAAGTAGTTAAAAACTAAGGATAAGCTGACCCAATTTTTTGGCGCCATTAGTCCTCTTCCTCCCACAACTACTGTCATCACAACTAATTATAGGTAACGATACGAAGACATTTAGACAAACAGTCACCAAAATATTAATAGTGATTAAGTCTTGACACAGAAAAGAATTATGGAGCTGGAAAAATTTTCAAGAAATATTTACTATATTATTATTTACAAAAGCATGTAAGAATTTTGAAAAAGTCATTTTAAAATAAATTATGTAAACAAGAAACTAAGGACATAAACTAAGTAAATCAGAAAAAGATAAAATTGTAAATTTTAAGTTAAATCAAATTCAATAAACTTGCTGAGCATGTCCTATGTGTAACAATACACTGAGCTGGATTAGAAGTCGGTAAATATACAGACCTAAACACAAATGTTATCAACACTTTTTTATTAGGTACAAGGCATTGTGCTAAGAAGACAAAGAATAATAAAACCAAAAATTTCTCTAAAAATTTAAGTTTCACCAGCAAGATAGAACATACACATAGAAAAATGACTATACAGTGCAAGACAGCATATGGTAAGAGTCACATGGGTGGGAGAGAATAAATGTGCTACAAAAAGGATTCATTATACAGACATCTGCCCAGTTGCAGTCTGCTTTGTGCTAGTGTGTAATCTGCTAGGTATCATCTGTTCAAGTACCAAAATAAATTTAAATTTCCACTTAAGCCAGATCAAAATCTCAGGGAACTCTTCCAGGGTGAAATAATTAGCTTAAAACATACTGAAACATAAATGATGACAACATCATTTTGGCTATGCCTTTTCATTAATTTATCACTTAGCAAAGATTTTCTCAGGTGTTTAACTTATCTAGACAAGTACCTAGAAATTGAGATGCAGATTCAAAATGCCCCCATTAAAAGTATTCTTAAGAAGAGATGATTATAAAGGAGCATGTGGGAATTTTGGGTTATGATGGAACTTAGGCTAGGAAAATAAGAAATGCTGCCTATCATATAGGACAGCCAACCCAATTCTTATATCCTTGGAGACTACATAGAAAACTGGTACAAAATTTTCAAAATTCATCTATTCATAAAATAATTAACACTGACTGAGGTGCTGGTTACAGGACAATAAGTGTTTGTTAAAACTCACAGAATCTATACTAAAAAAGATGAATTACACTGTATGTATATTATTCTTTAATTTAAAAATGAAATAAAAAGATTAAATAAGATCCAATGGGTAAGGTACTTACACAGGACTTGGGAAATAGTGCTCAAAAATGGCAGATATTACCTATTATCAATAGTACAAGATTATAAGCTCTATGAATTAAGAGGTTTTTTTCTGTTTTGTTCACTACTGCCTTTGTTATTCTATAAATGGTTGTGGACTGACTCATTTTCGTTAGCCTTTTTTTAAAAAAAAAGAAAGAAAAGGAGTCTCAGCACATGAATTAGACCTAGGCTTAAACAAACAAAAATATATATATACAAAGCGTGCAAATAAGATTCCTGTGGAATTCATGAAGAAAAGTATATGAGTAGAAATAAGCATATAAACTTGTAAGGGCTATAAACTTTCAAGAACTGAAGACTGTTATCTATCTAAATTAGATAAAACATGATCCCTAATAGCTTAACAAAAATGAGATATTTTCATTTTGCAGCAAGCAATACTGGGTTTAGGATATAAATACGTACAAGTCAATCTCTCCCGGAGCTCAGGAGTTGGAGCCATATCCACAGCACTTTTGCCATGGCAGTTCACTAAGGTAGGATCCGCACCATGGCTAAGTAACAAAGAGCAAACTTCTACACGATTCTTGGAAGCAGCCTCATGTAGTGGAGTAAACTGCCAGAGGTCCATAGCATTGACACAAGCTCCATGCTGAATTGAGAAATAAGAGTTTTAGCCCAGTGATCATTTCACTGGACCAAATAACTTGTAAGAACATTAATGTCACTGTAAATTTCAGTTCTCTTTGAAATGTCAATAAATGTTTCAATTTCAGCATTAAAAAAACAGCTTAAAATATTTTTGAATGTTTTAAATTTTTAAGGCAATGGTAATATTTGTTTTTGAACTACTCTAGTCTCTTAAAAATCTCAACAGCCAAAAAACATAAAAATTCATTTTAAGTTAAAAAACAACAAGGGAATACTATTCAATATTTTCAGTTTCTCCCACCTTCAGCAGTAGTTCTGTGACTTCATAATGTCCATAAGAACATGCGTTATGAAGAGGCACAAGTCCACTAAATGAAAAAAGGCAAATTAAAATACTTAATTTCAAACAACCTGTAGTCATTTATCTATGAAGTACTAAGAAACAAAAATCTAATAAATCCCAACATAATTATATTAAAAAATATTTTTAAGTTTTAATGAAAGAATACAAAACACGGCTTATGGTCAACCATGTTATGCTTATCATAAACCTTAACAATAACAAAAATACCAACCTCAAGAACATTTAGGTAAACAGAAGAAGAACAAGTGCTGATTGACAATCGCATGCTTTACCTATTAAGTATTTATAAAAAAGGAAATAGGAGCTCTGGTAGCATAGTGGCTAAGGCACTTGACTGCTAACCAGAAGGCTGGCGGTTCAAACCCACCAGCCACTCCTCAGAAGGAAGATGGGGCAATCTACTTCCGTAGTGATACTGCCCTGGAAACCCAAGGAGGGGTCGCTATGAGTTGGGTCTCGACGGCACACAAAAACAACAACAACAAAAAGAAAATAAACTGGTTGTGAATTGAAATATTCCTAATACTTTATTCACTTTCATGGTAATTTCCTAAAAATCAAATATCCTAACTATTATAACTTGTGTATCAATGTATGTTTTAAATGAGTCAGAAGCCCTTGTTTTCATGGTGTACTTCTCTTGATGACTCACCTATATTGTACACCCATCTGTTTTCAGACATGCACAAGGAAACAGATATGTATAAGAGCATCAGGTATTTATGCCCCTATACTATTGGGACATCATTCACGTATGGCACAAAATCTGGCAAAGCCAAAAGAAAAACAGAACATCTAAAAGTACATAATTGAAATGGATGGATTCCCCTTCTGATAATTATCTCCAGTACTGAGTTCTTCATTTCTAAGTTTAGACATAGAAAGGGGCAAAGTGGAAGAAACCTTCCTGTACGTTATTTCTGCTCTATGCTGCCAATCACAAGAATGTAATACGAATCCACTTTACCTGGGCAGTAGGTTCAATTAGCTTTAACCATCTTAAGGTAGAATACTGAGAAGTGTTAGCCCACCATATTGGATAGCAGACTCAATTCATATATATCACTGGATTCTAGATAGAAAACTGGTACAAATTTTCCAAAATTCATCCATTTATAAAATAAATGAAATAACAGCTTTCTTGCTTTCCTTCCATCACACCTCCCTTCCCATGTCCACCTTCACAAGAACCTGCTAGCTTTTCTCAGTTTAGATGCCTGACACTTCATCAGAGGGAAAGAAAAAAATAAAACTATAATGTTTTAAACTTATGATTTTGGGTTATTAATAAGAGATAATCCTGTCATATATGATGAATATTATGGCTATGCTACTATATTATCAGAATTTTCTATGTTTTATCTGTTTTTCCGAAAACCAATTAATGAGTTAAAAAAATAGTAATTGCAATTGAGAGAAATAACTTTTAATTTCAAATAACTGTAATAAAATTAAACTGATAATGAGTATCCTTAATAAACAGAAGCATGAAAATAAAATCTGAAGTCAAAACTAAATATTTTTAAAGTGCTATAAGCTATAAAGAAATGAGATATGTGACTTTCTTTGCTTAGTGCCTAAAAATTTGAAAATATCAGATGATGAAAATATAATAATCCACAAATGAATCCACTCAATGGATATAAAATTATATACCTACCCTTTGTCTTTTGCATGAACATCAGCACCATGCTGAAGAAGAAGCTGAACAATTCGAACTCTGTTGTAGCCTGCTGCAAGATGTAAAGGAGTTGACTAGAAAAGAAAAGAAAAATAATATAATCCCACAGCTTCCACTTCAGGTAAATGATTCTTACTTTGTCATTTACATATTTATTTAACCACAATGAATGTTAATATACATAGAAAATACTGGACGGAAATGCCAAAAATTCACATTTCATAACTGGCTGAGAGACAATTCACTCACTTCAAGTGTAAATTCTGACTTCAGTACTATCCATCCATTTTCCCTGCCTTAAGGCACTATACCACCAGAGCTCTCTTGCTTTTTTTTTTTTGTTGTTGTTATGTGCCGTCGAGTCAGCCCTGACTCATAGCGACCCCTCCTTGGGTTTCCGAGGCAGCATCACTACAGAAGTAGGATTGCCCAGAGGAGTGGCTGGTGGGTTTGAACCGCCAGCCTTCTGGTGAGCAGGCAAGTGTCTTAGCCACTATGCTACCAGAGCTCCCTCTCTTGCTTTTTAAAGCCCCATTAATCAATAAAACACAGGTAAGTATCTTTCTGACATTCTCTGGTTTCAGAGATCCATCCATCTGGTATCAAAGTGACATGCCACATCCCCTTCTGAATCTGGCTTGAATTTCTGGCAGTTCCCTTTTGATGTACTGCTGCAACTGTTTGAATTATCTTCGGCAAAGCTGTAGTTGTACATGATATTACTGATACTGCTCAATAAATTCCGCATTTTGTTGGATCACCTTTCTTTGGATTGGGCACGAATACGGGTATCTTCCAGTCAGTTGGCCAAGTAGCTGCCTTCAAAATTTCTTGGCATAGATGAGAGATAACCTCTAGTACTGCATTCATTTGCTAAAACATTTCAATTGGTATTCCACAAATTCCTGGAGCACTATTTTTTACCAATGCCTTCAGTTCACCTTGTACTTCTTCCTTCAATAATACCAGTTTTTAGGTATATGCTACCTCTTAAAATAGGTGAATGATAACCAATTCTTTCTGGTACTCTATATATTCCCTTCCATATTCTTTTGATGCTTCCTGTGTCATTCAATATTTTGCCCACAGAACCCTTCAGTATTCCAACTTGAGGTTTGAATTTTTTCTTGTTTTTTCAGCTTGAGAAATGCTAAGCATGTTCTTCCCATCTGGCTTTCTAACTCCAGGTCTTTGCATATTTCATTATAATACTTTGTCTTCCTAAGTCACCCTTTGAAATCTTCTGCTCAGCTCTTTTACTTCCATCCTTTCTTCCATTTGCTGTATTTAGCTACTCAACCTTCAAGAGCGTTCCATTTCACTTTTGAAAATTTCCAATTATCCTAGATTCATATTTCATATATTACATGTTCTGATTATTAATGTTTGCAGCTGTTTCTTCTCATTCTGAGAGATGCCCCATCTGCAAATGAAAAGTCCAGAAAGGTTTACTCCATCCACATCATTAAGGTTGACTCTCAGTGAGGACCTTTTCCCCAGTTGTATTTTAAGTGCTTTCCAACCTAAGGGGCTGGTACATCTTCTGGTACTATATTAGACAATATTTCCTGGCTCTTCATAAAGTTTCCCAGTAATATATCAGACAGTGTCTCACTATTATTAACATAAGGTTTTCAGTGGGCAGTTTGTGCACGACCCTCTCCTTCTTCCCAGTCTGTCTTAGTCAGGAAGTTCTGCTGAAACCTGTCCACCATGGGTGACCCTGCTGGTATTTGAAATATCGGTGCCATAGCCTCTAGCCTCACAGCAACACATAAGCCACCACAGTAAGACAAACCTACCAAAGAGTGGTAGAAGTTGTCAAAGTGAAATGGAACAGAAAAAGATAGATATCTTAAGCACCAGTGAGCTGAAATGGACTGGTATTGGTCATTCTGAATCAGACAATCATATGGTATACTATGCTGGGAATGACAAATTGAAGAGGAATGGTGTCACATTCATCATCAAAAAGAATGCTTCAAGATCTACCCTGAAGTACAATGCTGTCAGTGATAGGACAATGTCCATATGCCTGTTTTCCTCTCATACATTCCACATTTTGATTATTAATGGACATTTGCAGCTATTTATTCTCATTTTGAGTTATGCTAGATCAGCAAATGAAGGTCCCAAAAGATTTACTCCATCCACATCAGTAAGGTCAACTCTACTTGGAGAAGGCAACTCTTCCCCAGTTGTATTTTTGAGTGCTTTCCAACCTGAGGGGCTCATCTTCTGGCAGCGGATCAAATGATGCACTGCTATTCATAAGGTTTTTACTGGCCAATTTTTTTTCAGAAATAGACCACTAAGTCCTTCTTCCTAATCTGTCTTAGTCTGGAAGCCCCAATGAAATTTCTCAGTGACCCTGCTGGTATTTGAATTACTGATGACATAGTTTCTAGCATCACAACAACACACAAGCCACCACAGTATGTCAAATTGAAAAATGAGTGTTTACTTGTGTTTTATTGACTATGTAATGGTATCTGACTGAGTGGATCACAACACATTATGTATAACATTGGGAATGGGAATTCTAGATCACATAACTGTGCTTATTAGTAACCAGTCCATGGACTAAGAGACAATCATTTAAACAAGGGGATACTGCATAGATTAAAATCAGGTAGGGTGTATGTCAAGGTTGTATCCTTTACCATACTTAATTCAATCTATATGGTGAGCAATATGAGAAGCTGGACTATATGAAGAAGAATGTGGCATCAGGACTGAAGGAAGACTCATTAACAACCTGTGACTTGTATATGTAAAACTGGCTTACTGAAAGCAAAGAGAAAGCACTTAGTGATGAAGATCAAAGCCTACAGCCTTCAATATGGATTATATCTCAACATAAAGAAAATAGAAATCCTCACAATTGGATCAATAAGGAACATCATGAAAAAAAATTTGATAAAAGATTGGAGTTGTTAAGGATTTCATTTTACTTGGATTTACAATCAATGGCCATGGAAGCAGCAGTCAAGAAATCAAATGATGTACTACATTAGGCAAATGTGATGCAAAAGATCTCATTAAAGAGTTAAAGAGCAAAGATGTTGCTTTGAAGACTAAACTGTGCCTGACCCAAGCCATTCCACTTTCAATCACTTCATATGCATATGAAAGCTGGCAAATGAATAAGGAAGACTGAAGAAGAATCGATACATCTGGGCTATGGTGTTGGTGAAGAATAATTGAATATATCACAAACTTCCAGAAAAACAAAAAAATCTGTCTTAAAAGTACAGCCAACACGCTCCTTAGAAGCAAGGATGATGAGATGTTGTCTTACATACTTTGGACATGTTATCAGGGGATCAGTTCCTGGAGAAGGACATCATGCTTGATAAAGTAGAGGGTCAACACAAAAGTTAAAAACCCTCAATGAGAAGGACTACACAGCTGCAACGGTAGGCTCAAATATAACAAGAATTTTAAGGATGGTGGTGCAGGACTAAGCAGTGTTTCAGTCTATTGTATATAGGTTTCTATGAATTGGAACCGACTACATAGCTCCTAACAACAACACATTGATCAAGTCCTACCCCACCTACCCTACATTATTTCTTATTTCTTTCTAACACTCTCACTTTTCAGAGAAGACGTATCAGTGCTCTTATGCCCTGTAACTGGATGCATTCTTCCTTATCTTACTCAAATCCTGCCCATCTTTCAAGTTCTAACTTTTCAATCCCAATTCTATCGTAAGCTCCTACCTGAAGATCTAGTTCTCAAAATTTTTCTTTAAGAGAAAAGGTTGAAAAGCATTCCTAAAGAACTGTTAGCATAGTGGCTAAAGCACTTGACTGCTAACCAGAAGGCTGGCGGTTCAAATCCACCAGCCACTCCTCGGAAGGAAGGTTGGGCAATCCTACTTCCGTAGTGATACTGCCTCGGAAACCCAAGGAGGGGTCGCTAGGAGTCGGGGCCGACTCGACGGCACATGACAACAACAACAACAAAGAACTGTTAAGAAACTTCAGTGGAAACAAAAAGGACAATGTACCGCCTTCAGTCCATATAGCTGTTAGCAATGTGTCAAAACAAATCTGCTACACTGAATGCAATGAAATATATTAGGATAATCTATATCTTGACATCTTAGTAAAATATATTCATATAATTCATGTATCATATACAGCATATAAATACAAGAGGAAAATACAGTTCTTTCCCAACTAATTTCTGTCATATTTAAATTTTAACCAAGTTATTCTCTGTTCAAACTCAACATGGTAATTAAAATAATCAAATTTCTCACCTTTTCTGTTAATCAGAAATAACATTATTTTAATTAAAAGCTTCTCTGCAGCCATAGTAATTTTACCACATTTGCTCAATTACCTGAACTTTAAATACTGTAACAGCTTTTCACACAGGTTCTAATTTTTTTTTAATGCACTTTGTTTTTCCTGTTTCCTATTTGGGGCCATAAGATTTAGTAAGATCTTTAATTTATTTTCTTCACATACGCTGAATGTCAAGATATAAAAGAATTACTACATATTGTATTATCTTATCTACACTGTTTTCAAGGCACCCCATAAATTTTACATGTTCTGACAGTCTATGAGTTTATTTACAAGCATTGCACAGCTAATAATGAGACAAAGTAGAATAATGTAAGAGAATCCTGAATGGAATGTCAAGAAACCTGATTACATTCTTATATCTTAGGAAATCCTGTGAAAGTCCTATCACTTATGTACCTGGGTTTCTTCATGTGGGTTTCATCCTAACAGTCTTAGCTTTGTAGTGATGCTATAACACAAATGCCACAGTGGGTGGCTTTAACAAACATAAATTTAGTTTCTCACAGTATCTTAGTTATGTAGTGCTGCTATAACAGAAATACCACAAGTGGCTATTTCTACACTAAATATTGCCTCATTAACCTAACAAAGAAAATCCATTCCCTAATGGGACTATAACCACAGGTACGAAGATTAAGATTTATAACTCTGTACTTTTAGAGGACACAATTCAATCCATAATACATAATTTAGGAAGCTAGAAGTCTGAATTCAGAGCATTGGCTTCAGGGGAAGAACTCTCTCTGCTGGCT